CGCCATGTGGTCACCTCTCAGGCAGGCGGGGATCCAACTCATGCGGAAGTGGCTTTAGCTTCTTAGTGCTGTGCTTTAACCTGCTGTGCCACCAGGGAGGGCCTCTCCCTTGACTTTCTATGGGGTTACACTGAAAATGTTGACTGGAAGCTGTTCGCTAGAGTCTGTCCTGCAGTTTTCACTGAACATCATCATAAAGTCAAACAGTCTTTAGTTGAACCACCTTGAGTCAGGATCACCTGTATAGTTGCAGAGTTGCTGTCTATGAGAGTAAAAAGACCTTTCAAGAGCGGCTGGGGGCTCAGATTGCTTCTCCCTGCCACCCCATTCCCACTCATCACTGATAACCTCACTTGATTGGGGTTATTTTTATGTTTGTAGCTTGCTTTGTTATTATTAGTTTTTAGCTAACATTAGTTTACAATGATGTGTAGGTTTCAGCCACTGTACAATTTACACCACGCCCACCGTCAAACATCCAATCACCATCCACAACCAGTCATCTCTGCCCCATCTCTCCTCCCTCCTTACCCCGGGGAACCACCATTCTCTTGTCAGAGTTCTAGTTTATCTCTTAGTTTTTCTTTCATATTTCACAAATGAATAAAATCACCTGGTATTTGTCTTCCTCTTGACTTATTTCACTTAGCATACTCTCCTCCAGTTCCATCCATGTCATCATAAATAGCAAGATTTCATCATTTTTTATGGCTGTCACTTGATTAGCTTTATGTAGAGGAAATGTCCCAAAGAGAGCCGTGAGACACTTGACCCCAAGACCAAAGGCCGTCATGTGACTTCTATAAGGGCTTTATGCTTTAAAACAACCAACGAAGCAGGTTAATATTAATCATAGGATTGCCAGACTCCTTGAAAGCCTTCAGCTTCTGTCACTCTTTCCTATCCACTTCTCCCATTTACAGTCTCCAAAATATGACTTCTGCTCTCAGGATGCTAACCAGTCAGCAAATGTTTCTTAGGCATCTACTTTTTACTTCCTTCTATTTTGTTGAGGGTAATAAGAATAAAGCAAAGTTGCAGTGCAGAATGAATGACAAATGAGTGGCCCAGACAGTAAGCTTCTATTCCAGAGAGGTACATAGTAGGTAATCAATAATAAATATGGAATGAAGAGATAGATGAAGGAAATCTCAGTGTAGGCTAAAGCAGTCAGGGAAAAGAAAGTTCTATTAATCTGGTTGAACCACAAATTTTCTGTTGGGAGAAAGACTAATAGTTGTCAGACTAGACAGCTACTCTCAACCCAGATTCTTTTTAAAATGGTCACTGCAGGCCACTAGTCTGGGCCACTACGTTAGGGAGGAACATGAGTCAGAGAATCTAGCTGGGGGAAAGGATCATTATCCATGGGAAAAGGGACTATTAAGGAGCCATCGAGCACTTTTTAAGAGAATGATGGTGCCACTTTCAGAGGTGGAAAGGGGAGGGAATAGGGCCATCCGCAGGGGACAGAAAAGAATTCAGTTGTAGACATTTCCAAATGGAAGTATTCAGCAGAAGCTGCAGATAGAGGAGTCAGATCCGGGTTGTTCCAAGTCCAGATTAACAGCTCATTCTCTCTTGTCGCCCTCTCCTTTCTTGGCTTCTGCTATGACAAGAACAATGAAATGTCATGGAGGCCCAGGAAGGATGGTTAAAAAGAAAGATGTGCTTGCTGAGAGGCTGAGGAGGCTGTAGCTCAAGAAACAGCCATGTGATTTGCCTTGGGAGACGGTCGTGATCTTTGAGAAATGTCGTTTCAGAGTGGAGATTTGTGGGTGGGTAAGAAATGGACTGAAGGGTGTTTACAAGTTAGTGGGTGCTGAGTTGGAGAGGCTGTGGGTGTGGGCCAGGGTCAGGAGGACGAAGATGTGTGGAAGGTAGCGAAAAGGCACATAGAGGAACTCAAAACTCTGGTCATTTCTCTAATGAAACTTTTCTCAAAGGTCACCATTTGCCTTCTTCTTGCCAAATAAAATGTTTGCTCTGCTGTCAGTTTGTCACTTTGCAATATTTGCGATATTTGATGTCATATCCCTCCCTCTTCCTTAAAGCTCTCTTCTCAGTGCATTCTGTAATATGATAGCTACTACCCTGGCCTCCTAAGGGGCCAACCGTTGTTTATTTTTCCCTGTTGGCTCCTCTTCCCTGCTCACAACTAAAGCTTTGACCTTGGGCCTCTGAGGCTCCCTCAGACAGGTCATTCATCTAAGCTGATGACTCACAAAGCTCGGTCTATCTACTTCCCACTGCCGAGAGGGCATCTTCACCAAACCAATTTTCCTTCTAACTTTGCCTTTCTGAGAGGGGTCTTACAATTCTCCCAGGTATTCAGACTGGATGCTTTCAGATACCTGTTTTTTTCTTAGCTTCTTGGTACATCGAATCTCTTGCTATAATCTATTTTTGAAACACTTCAGCGGGTCTTTCTTACTCTCCATTTCTTTGCCACTACCCCCAGTCATCTCTAGCCAACATTGCTTTAGCGGATCCCTGGACTGTTTCTCTGGCCCAGGCCCTAACTCTCTGGAGTCCATGCTCTCTCCACAATTACGAGGTTAATATTACGCCTTTACCACTTACCGTGTCATTCCCTTTCTTAGAGCTCTTAGCAAAACAGCTAAATTCTTCTGTGCGGCTTACCAAGTATGTCAACAAAGAAACTTAGAAAGGGTAATTAGATATTATGTGTTCTAATTTTCTTTTCAGTGCAGGAATGGCTCTTTGCTCTTCTCGGACAGTCTTCCTTAGAAGGGTTCCTAGATCACAAAGCCTTTACGAATTTAGTCTCACTCTTTATAATCAAATTTCTTTACGTACTACATCCACATTCTATCTCCTCTAGTCATATCATCTTTCCTGACCCCTTTCTGACTTCTTGGTCTTCACTCCTACTGCATTTAATGGTACCACATATTTTTCCACATCCTTTATATCTGTTAATCCTCTCACTCCCTTACTTCCCCTGGCCCCTGCAGAATGTAAGCTCTTTGAGAGGCCAAAACCCTAACTTAAATTTTATTTCACCCACAAGCTCGCCTTGCACAGAATGAGACATACAGCTGGCACTTCGCCAGTACTTTCTGGTTACTAGTAAATGGGCAACCTTAGTGGGCCACAGGTGAGTTCTCACAGCAAGCCAGTGAACAAGTTCATGATCACACATCACAGTCCCTGATTCCCTGAGCACCAGTTTTGGTACATATGAGCTAAACTGGATGAGGATGCTTTGAGGGGTGGGTTCTAGGCCTTAGGTCAGAACAGACTCTTCCTGAGTCTGAAAAGCAGTGTGGATTACCTCGGTAATCTAGGGCAGGTGCCCTGGGAACCTCTTCAACATACACTTCATTGTAGCTTTCATCTGGATAGTAGCCTGAACCTGTAATGAAGAAGAAAATATCAAGATGATATATTGATTTCTCCTCATGTCCTTTGCAAATTTCCCCCCTATCCAACTTGGTCCCTTCCTGAAGACATGTGTGGGGAACTATGGGGGAAATTCTGTCTTGTAAAGTAGAACTATTGTGGGCAAAGCTCACTTCAGGTCAAGGTGGGTGGGAGCTCCTGGTAGCACTAGAAGCTTCCACTGAAAAGCAAAGAAAAAAACAAACTTCTGGACCACCCTCAGTGCCATCGATCTGGATTATCTATGACCCATTTCCTTGGTGAGACATTGGCCACCAAGTTCTGAGGATGGACCATTTTCCTAGGTAGGAGGACAAAACAGAGCCTGAGTAGGTGTCATGTGTCCTTTTACCAGTGACAGACCTGCTCATAGTCCTCAAAGGGAAATAATTCAGCTCCCACTTGCTCACAGAGCATCGGCCTTTTGCTACCTGGTTGCAGTCACTAGGGGTGGCACGCCAAGGCAAAGAAGGAGGACACAAAAGCAAATGGGGGAATGAGAATAGTTTTCATGTCCTGAGCAGCTTGTCCTGCTTTGGAGAACAAAGAGGAAATGTGCTTTGGAGAAGTTTCCGTTTCCTCTAATCAGGAGGCTTAGCAGGAAACTGCTAAACTAGAGTACATTCCCAGGCCAGCACCATTGGATCGGGATATGTGGCCCAGTCCCTGGTGGAGGCAGGTCTGTGGCTGTCTGGGACACTAAACAATGTGTTCTAGCAGAGGCAGGAAGTCAGTCGTGAACACAAACTAATTGGAATACAACTTGGCCCTTTCCGGAGTGAAGGTTTTCAAGGCTCTCCTTCCAGCCTCCCTAAGCCCCGCTGCAGGCATAGGCAAAGAGCAGCCAGCGCTGCTGGGATCGCAAGATTGGTCTCCATTTCCAGGATGGAGTGTACTTTCCAGACAAGGCTGGGTTTTAGTGCGGGAGACCACAGCTAGCCCGCCTCCCACCCTGGGAGTGAGGCACAGGGCCCCCTGCAGTAAAGGGTGGAGCAGAAGTCTGTATGATGAAGCTTCTCCATTCCCCACAAGCCCAGACTGGGGGGTTAGGATGTGGGAAGCCAGTCCAGCTTGAGGAGCGAGGGAATGAATCAAATTGAACGTTTGCCTTATGAAATCATGTCCTCATTGGTTTACCCACATTCCAGAGGAAAGACTTCATTTTTTTTTCTTTCCTTTTTAATTGTTTTTTTTTTTTTCTTTTCCCATTTCAGTTCTTCTGGCTTCCCTTTATTTCTCCTAAGGCCTCATCTCCCTTTCTCTGCCTGTTACCACATGGGAGGTTTCTTTGTGGAGCATGGAGTTCTTGTCAGCTGTTTTAGTTTAGCACAGGCCTCAAAGCCTTACAGCTCCTGTAAACAGGAGGCCAGATGTGTGTGATTCCCTAAGGGATCTGGTCCTCACACTCTGATTGAAGAGCTGGTTTGTAAAGAAATTTCCAGCAGAGAGCATGCTTCTGTTTCCCAGAGGAGCGCGCGGGAGTGCCAGAGGCCTGTGGCTGGATGACAGTAACAACAGAAGGGCTTCTAGCAGCGCTCTGCATGGGTTGTGTTCAACCTGACAAGTGTTTACCTCACGTCCTCCCCCTCGCACCTCAGTGAGATAGACACCCTTGTTGCTCTCTAACATACAGACCAGGGAATGGGCTCCCAGGAGTTGGAGTAAGCCAAGTTCTCCTGGCTAGTAAGGAGCAGAGTGGGCATTCCAGCCCCGGGCTGTTTGACCCCCTCAGCACCAAAGTCAGATAGTCCACTAATGATGGAGGTAGAAGAGAACTTTATTGCAATGTCCAGGAGATAAAAACCCAAACTTGTTCTTGAATTTCAACTTCTTTACTTGGGTGTGTGGGCATGGGTGTGTGTGTGAGTGTGTGTGTGAGTGTGTGTGTTTTGTGCACACAAACACGTGTTTTATTTAAGTCTACCGATCATTTGACATCATTCTAGAATTAGAGGGGATGTGGGAAGCCGAGGGGGAAACTCAAGCTCCTAATAGTTGCCACCATGGTATAGCGGTAGTGGACTGGTGCCAAGTTTGCCTTGTCAAGGGAGCAGGGCTTGGCCCCCTTACCACTTTAAGCTTTCCCATTGCCCCCTTTGCTAGTCTCTGGGTAGTTTTTGCAAATACTAGGAGACTGAGATGAGGGCTAAGAATGACATCAGAGGGGCACCTTGCAGGCATTGTTTTGCTGGCTTGCCCTAGGGGTTGGCGGGGGAGGGTAGCCCCTTAGTTCCTTAGCCGGATCAGCAGTTACTGTGTGGTCTGTTACTGCATTCCTCCAACTCTCATAGCACAGTCAGAGGCCCTGAGCCCTGCCCCTCACAGAGCTATGGTTGGAAAGTAGCTAATAGTTGAAGACTATTTTCAGATCCACACTCATGCTTGGCTTATGATGACAAATGCAACGTGACTTCTGTTACTGTGCAGAAATGTTAATATGCACTCTTAAACCCACTCTGCACTTTACTTATATTCTTCACCCTTCCCAAGCCCTGCTGGTTTTCCTGATTAGCCCTGAATTCACACTTGGTTGCTCTCTATGTGCCATTCCTATTTGAGGGTAAGGCTATAGCTTGAGTCAGGGTGCGGAATGCATAAAGAGTGGTCACTACATGTTCGTTGACTGACTGACTGACTGGCTGACTGACTGACTGAATGAATGAATGAGCAAATGAAGAACATCCAGACAGTTGAGTTGGCAATGTAGGGAATGGTTAATGGAAAATTTCCAAATATCATTTTGTAGCCTCCTAAGGATATCAGGGGCAGAGCGAGTAGGTCTGCAGGGCCTGCATTGCTCAGAGTTCTCACTGGCCTGCATTGCTCAGGAGTGGTGACCTCAGAGAGGCGTGCACAAGTGGCAGGTGCCACCTTTGCAAACAGCCCTTTGAGAGCTTCAAATGAATACAGATTTAATCAGAAACAAAACATTCCCTGTCCTCAAGACACCAACCGCTCAGGCTTCCGTCCTGGGAAAGGTAAAGGCCTCTGTACCCCATACAAGGGTTCAAAATCCAGCTTTGATACATCTAATCTCCACATGTTAGTCCTGTGGGCTTTGGCTGGATTTTGGTCTTATGTCCTGGAACTGAAGCTAGGAGGCGGCTGAGGAAGAAAGCGGCACATATTATCTTCTGGAGACTCCGGGTTCCTTGAACCCGATTGCGTACTCTCCCAAGGGTTTGGCTTGAATTTGTTCATCTCAATGTCAGCCCTTGTGCTTCACCCCTACAAAGCCAACCTAAACTGGAGAGGGGATGAAGTTTGCATATTTGTTTGAAAGCTTGTTGCAGCTGTTCCAGACAAACAGAGCTATTGCCAAAGGCCTCAACCAGGAGGTAAGGGCCTGTGGAAAATTTTAGCTGCAATGACTGTTGCTCTGATGGAAGCAGTTTGTTATTTACTCATCTTTGGACATTTTCCTAACTTCATTGGTTAGGTCTGTCTCCTTTCTCTACTCACCCTCCCAACCCCCCGCCCCCATAAAGGCAGACACTTCAGGCCACAGAATATTCTTAGCAATTGGAATGCCAGCTGGACCCCAACAAAAACCTCTGTCTGCCACCTCATTATCCTCCCCCTCCCCTTTCCCCTCTCCTCACTGAATCTGTTCTCTTCAGTTCCCTGTGTCTCCAGGAGCAAAGAAAGAAACATTCAGGAATTAAGCAATCTCCATCCCCTCTGAAGTAAGCAATGAGCCAGAAGAAACTGAGGAATTCCTGTTTAAGAGAATGTGACTTGTATATCTGTGTTTCCATTAATAATATTTGACAGAAGGGGGCTATAAATATCTCATCCTATAGCTAAGTTCTGAGGGGGAAAAGAGAGATGGAAGGGAAGAAACTGAATGGATTCTGGTTTTCCTTGAAAAGATTTTCTGTCTCCCTCCCCCCATTTTTCCCATATGTGGCCCAAGTCCTATTTTTGTGGTCTTGACAAAGGCATTAAGATTTGACTCATAAAGGAATTAATACAAGGAGCTAGGCCTAAAGCAGATGAGACAATGGTCTCAAAGTCTATGGTGTCCAGTCTTCTCGTTTATATGTTGGTGTAGCCTATTGAGAAAAGTTTTCTCTGTATCTAATTTAAGTGTCTAGTACTACATTCTAACTCTTTCATCCTCTAAAGCTTGGTCTTGGCCCTGCCCTTGCTGGGAAAAAAGGGGCAAAAGCTCTTACCTGCATACGATGTTGGTGTCACTGCGGGCATGAGGAAGAGCAGCAGGGAGAGAGCTCCTCTTTGAATTAGTTGACTTGCCATTCTTGCAAGGCAGGGAGACGGTTTGTTAGGGAGATAAGAGTAGAGGTATGTGGCCAGATAAAAATCAGGGCAAAGGAGAAAATAACTTTCAGAAATCAGCCATCAGTGAACATTAAGGGCAAGCAGAAATGTGGCATCTGCAGGGAAAAGGAGAGGTTTTTAAGTGAATGAATATCTGTTATATTGTCCCCTTGTAAGGATCATCTACTTTCTAAAATAACAAGACTCTATTTGCTCTTGATGTTTCCTTTTCCTCTCAGAAGGAGGAGGTCATAAAACAATTTTCAGTTGACACTGATGAGATCAGATGCAAAATTTCTATGGCCCAATTTATAGAGAAGGACACTGAAGTACTAAGATAGGAAAACAAAATATAAAGTCCTCTAAACCCAGAGGGAATTCTGAGATCTATAAGCTGGCAGTTGATGGTTTCAGCCTTTCAACTAGTCTTCCAACGCACTAATCTGGGGAAGAATTAGAAAATGAACTCAGGACTCACACAGATCTAAATGTGTATCAGTTCTGTATCTATTAGTTATGAGGACTTTGACAAATTCCTTAACTTCTCTGAGCCTCAGTTTCCTCATCTGTAACAATATCATCTACCTTGTAGAATAGTTATTGCCTAGTACAACGGAAATAGCTTATATTAGGTATGATTATCACCCATTTCCTATTGGACAGCTGTGGATGTTTCCTTATTCCAGGATCTCACAGGCAGTAACTATACTCTAGCTCTGTTCTTAGCTTTGGCTTTTGAGGCTTAATGGTTTGCTAGTGGCTTCGGGTTTTCAAGTCAAGCCTAAGCTTGTGGTTTTACCTTGCCCTGCCAGCAGGAAGTCAGTGAGGTTGGGAAGAACCTACCAAAGTACAGGAAGGGAGGGGGAGCAAGCTCAAACAGCCCTCACTGTAATGAGATGAGAGTTATGTGGGTCTCGGTCGGCAAATGCTTCATAAATGGCAAAATTAAAACTCACTACCCATGGATATAAGCTGGCTGCTGGACCCTTCAATGAACATCCATCCACCAAGTAGCTTTCAATGAAATGCCATGCTTGGGGGAGGAGTCATTCCCGGAAACAAAACCGAAAAGATGGTAGAATCTGACCAGAGTCCCCGTTGGACATGACAAGTCCAAGAATGGCAAAGATTAATTTTCAAATTCATCGTTATTTGGCTTCAGATTTTGTCTATGAAGCAGGATAGAGAAAACGTAAGAGCAAGAGAGGCAAGGTAAATGGAAAGGAAGCTAAAAAGGAAAAATATATATCTACCAGAGATACAGGAAAGAGATAAAAGTAGAAAGAGGGAACAGGGGGATGATAAAGAGATTAGAGAGAGAGCCAGGAAAATGAACAGCTGGAGAGGTAACACCTTGATCTTCTCCACATGCAGCCTTAATGCAGCCCCTTGACTTTGGAACAGGGGCTTCCCTTTTAGACCTGGAGCTCCGCTGAAGGCTTTAATGTTCTCTCCCCCGCCCCGGTCTCAGACTGAAAACTTGACTCACCAGAGGCAGTCATGCCTCTGCTGCAGGCAGGCTGGAAAGTACTGGAAACTTGTGTCTGTGCAAGGTCAGGTTCAAGTAGAAAGCAGCTTAGGATCCTTAGGATCCGGCTTCAGAAAAGAACTTCTTCCCTCCCCAAGTCATGTTGCCCAAGGCCTGGATCTCTTTTCCCCTCAGAGTTCCCAGTGGACCCCCATGGTCGTGAACCAGGGCAGTGCAGTGAGGGGGTGGGGGGTGAGGCAGCAGCTCTTACCTGTTTTGTGGTTTTCTACACTCTTCTACTTCTCTTTTTCCTTCTCTGCTTCTCTCATCAGTCGGAAAAACGTCTATTTTAACATTCCTAGAACGAATGGCTGCTGGTCTGTCCGGGGCCTCCGGGATTCTATTAACACTGCCCAGATGTTAGGGCATCCACATCTGCCAAAAGTTTCCTTAAAGCTACATTATCCCCAAAGCTAGCTGATCCTCTCCGAGAAGGAGTTTAAAGCGATGGGAGAGAAAGGATACAAGGGCTAGAGGAACTCAGCCTGTCTGCTGCAGAACAGGGAAGGCTGAATGGTGCTTGTCCCAAGCCTGTGAGTATAGCAATGACCCAGAGACAGGCTAGGGGGCCTCTAGGGATGTGGCGCATGAAGAATACTTGGCTTTTTTTTTTATGACTCAGCATGACATCAGGAGTGAATGAAAGGGATTTGCACAACCTTCAATGAGAGTAAAAGAGTGTAGTTGACTCTGCCATCCTCTGGAGATGTCCCCTGTCATCCCTTACACTCCCCAACTCCCAGAGCCGTGTTAGCCACACAGTGCAGGGTCAGGCACTTTGAATCCCTCTCAGATGATCTAACTTCTGTGGATTTCAGTTTCTGGTAAGATTATGTTGTTTACAAAAACACTACAAAATTCTTGCCTGAAGAACCAATCTTTCTGATTTCCTATTATGAGGAGTAAGAGGATTAGCGTGCCCAGAGAGAGAGGCTTTATTGGGACGCTGTTTCAGTGAATCTAGGTGATTCACTCGGCGCACGGCAAGGTTATGGCCACTGCTAAGCTGTTTCTCAGTGACCTCCGATGCACGGATATATTTCTCCTCACTATGCAAGCTCTCTTCATTTTAGTATTGGGGAACGAGTCTCCTATATGGTGCAGACCATCTTCTTACATTCTCCCTTCCTCAAGGTTGACATTCCCATCTTAGAATAGGCAGTGGCTATAGAAGCAATTTTTTTAGTTATATATGCACACTGGCAGGCAGCCCTTTCTGAGTTATTTGGGAAGAAATGTGCTTAGGATAACAAAAATTTCAGTAGCAAGTCTGAGTCTAATTCAGTTCCAATCCACCAGTCACATATATGGACTGAGTGTCCAGCATTTGTCCAGCAGTCTGCAAGTGGTATAAAGAAGCAGAAGACTTGAACTTGGCATCATTCTATCAATACATTGATCAACCATCTACCATGTTAAGGATGGTAGGCATAATGATGAATAAAAGAAATAAAATCCCTGATATTCTGATTCACAATTAATCCAATCCATATTTGTTGAGCCTCTATTATGTGCTGTGTGCTGTTCTGGGTACTTGAGAGACATCTGTGAACAAAATTGACAAAAACCCTTGCCCTTCATGGAGTGGAGGGGGGAACAGAGATTCTATAAAGATGTTATTAATTATAATTGTGTGTGTTTTGGGAACTAACAATCTCTTGCACATCTTCTAGAAGATAAAAACTAGGAATACAGTGGTAAAAACTGTCATCCTTGACATGATGGAGCTTCCTCTCCCACTCTGAGAGGATTTATGTTTAGTAAGAGAGAAAAGGGGGAACCCAAACAGTGTTCAAAATCAAGACAGTAGAAGACCAGAGTAATAAAGTAGTTAGTGTTATGGTAGAGGCTGTGAGGACTCCGTGGAGAAAGGCGGCCATGATGTGCACTCGGGCAACGGAGCCGATCCATGTGCACTCAGCAAGAGCCGATCGTTAGGTCAGAGGGGGATGGGCTAACTGGTTTGAGGGTTCAGGAAAGTTTTTTTGACAAAGTCAAAAAATTAAGAAAGGATCATATTTGGGGACTCTGGAAATAAGATCTAGGAGTTTAAACTTATTGTTAGGAAATAGTGACTCCAGTAAATGGAAGTGAGAGAGAGAGAATAAATCCCCAGTGTTGTTTTCTCCTTTAACCCCACTCCCCCAACACACACACACACACACACACACACACACACACACAAACACCGGCTCTCTCTTCTTGTCAAAGAATACAGTCTAGCTTCTTAACTGGGTCTCCTTTACCCTTCACAAGCGAACCCTGCCTATGATCTCAGCCCAGTTTTCAAGCATTCACTCTATGTCTCTTGACTCTGGACACACTGAACACTTTGGTTCCTTTGTACAGACACGTTTGCTCTGTGTTTATTTCCCTCCTTTCTTGGTGTTTTGAAACCATCCCCATCTTTCCTGCTGAGAAGCTTCTCTCTACCCACCCCAACCAGAGGCAATTTACTCTGTCTTCCTTTCCTCTAGCACTTAGCACTTTGTTCACATGTCAACCACAGGGATGATCACACCTGTTGTCCCTCATCCTCCCTGACAACCTCTGCTCCCCCTTGTGCTAGTTTGTTCATCTTATACTTGTGTCTGCCCCTTACTCAACTGTGAGTACCTAGGGGGCAAGAATGTTATCTTAGTCTTCTTCAAGCCCCCAGTACCAAGGTTAGGGCCCAGCACATGAAGGATGAAGATGATGGATAAGGACTCATGCCCCACTTAGAGCTGGAAGGAGCCGGACCGAGGGGTAGTAGAAAGGTCAAAGCAGAAGGGAAGAGGGAGAATACAGAAATCACAAGGAGACCCTTCCTGGTGGCACAACCAGTGAGGATGCAGCCCTGTAAGCTGGCGGCAGCCCCTTCAGTGCGAGTTTGATCCCTGCCCTGGAGGTGACCCACCTGGTGCAGCAAACCTCTCCTGACCTGCCCACTGCTCTCCTCAGCAGTGTACTTTGTCAGTCGACCTGTTCTGCTCCCCACTCCGTCTCTGGTGCATCCTCTCACCACTTCTGTACCTCTGGCCTGTACCCCAGTTCTGTATGTATGTATGTATGTATGTATGTATGTATGTATGTATAAATACGTAAATAAATCTTTTTAAAAAGAGAAATTACAAGGAGATTGAAGTAAGGGCATAAATGAGGGAAGAGAGCCTTCCTGTGAAGCACTGGGATAAGTAACATAAGAAGCTGATTTAGTTGAACCAGGTGGGGTTAATAAAAATAAAAACCTTCTTTGGCACCTGTTAGATGTGGGTAACACAATGGTATATACACTGGGAATATAAAGTTTCATTAAACATGTCTTCCTAAGGGTTGTTTGGAAGATAAGACAAAAACACACAGCTGACCACATGTGTACATACAAATATAAAGTTCTCAAAGTCCACTACCACTTTAAACATCAAGAGCAAATATGAAATATGTCAAAAGTCAGTAAGGTTTTATGAAATATTAATATGGAAGCTGACTTGTCTAGCTGAAATTTCAGGAAAACTTAACAAGGCTACCCTGGAAACAAAGTTCATAGAAAATGGAATAAGGCAGATTGACATGGAGCTGTGAATTTTAATACTGTTCAAAAGTTTTTCATTTCTATGTGTTCCCACTTGTATATCATAAGCCTTTTCAAAGACAAAATGGTCAGTCTGCAAAGGGAAAAAAGGATTCAGAAAGAGTGTGAAAGGAGTGGTGGGAGAAAAGTGAATGAAAAGTAAACAAAAAGGAGAATTTCAGAGAAGGAATAACGCAAACATGCAAGTGACAATGGGGAAAAATGATAATCTCATTAAGAAAACAGATTTTTCGAACTGTGTACGTTAATTATCTCAATGATGATGTCTAATCTGTCTAAGTGATGTTTATTTAATGGCTGTAACGTAAAAACATGAGAGTTGAGGAAAATAAATAGGAGGTGGTTTTAAATTTTATGATAGGCACTTAGCCAAAGGTAATTGAAGAGTCTATAAAAGGAACTAGAAATGAAAATGGTGAGGCTATTATGTGAATAAGAGATAAGATGTATTCTGTGTGGAATGGTTGATATCTTTTTACTGATTTCTAAGACAGGCATAGTAATGTCCTAAAACATTATCCAGCACTTAATTTTTCTGTTTATTGAGAGTGGTATACCAGAATGACTTCGACATTTACTTTTTAAGAAATCCAACCTTGACTCACTACTAAGTGGTTAGCCTTAGCAACCAGCCCCAGCCAATGTGTTCAGCAGGGATTGGCAGAGCACCGTATGACCTCATCAATTGAGCATTATGTCCTAGGGCTCTGGGGAGTCTATAAAAGGGGTGCAGGAGCATTCCAAACTGGCTCTTCTCTAGTTTCTAAACATAGATAGCAGGATGTAGGACAGGTGAGTAGAGAAGAAAGCAAGTACCAGGTACCATAGTAATCAACTAAGGGAGGGTCTGGGTTAATGTGAGTGGGCACTGAAGTAAGAGGAGGGTGGTAGTGGGAGGGACGAGGGGGGGGGAGACGCTCACATTGAGTTGGGTTGAGCTGAACCTTAAGTGGGGAGTAGGAAGTAAAGGGTAAGAAGTTGAGTGAGGTATGGAGAATGGGAAGGGGGTGTGTAGGAAACACAGTTTATTGAGGAGATCTTCATACTGACTGTGAAAAATGGTGGGAAATAAGTTGAGAATATATTTGTGGGGGGAGCCATAGTTTAAATGTGTCCCCTTACAAATTAAGTCTAATCTAGAAGGTTGTGGGGAGTTAATAAGGAAGGGACAGTTATGCTTGGTAAATATTGATTGTAACACAAGCAGGAACATGTGTTTTTATGATCATAAGAGGTTGAATCAGAAAAAGTGTTGCACTCTCCACCTTACCCTTGTGGGATGGGCAAGGTTACTTCTTTGGTAATTGGGCTATTAGATGAAGTCAAAAGAAAGTCAACAATAACAATAAAACCCAGGTCCTTGCAAGGCACAATTGGGGGAAGTCATCAAGACCCTTGTACTTCAGGAGCTCCAAAAAGGATTGTTCATGGTTAACTGCTGAGTCCAGCAGTCGTTGTTGGGGAAGACAGCTGTTCTCACCATGGCGGTCATGTTTCAACTCTGAGTGGGCCCCATTTTCGATGGGGGAAACAGCAGTTGACAGGGCTTAGTCCTAGACAAGTTACTTAGCCTCTCATCCTGTTTCCTCGCAAAATGAGAGCAGTTTTAATCTTGACCTGACAATCAGGGCTTTGATGATGTAAGCACACAGTAACATGGGTCGATGTGTATTGCGGTCATTATTAATACTTTGAAGTATGCATTTAACTTATGACCAAGAGAAGTATTTCTTATTTTGCCTTAGATATAATTAGACGTCCCTTTAGCCTGGGTCTGGTGGAATTAAACTGAATTTCTGGGTTTGTTGGTATGGTGGTGGTAGTGTAAGGTGGTAGCAGTATGAGGTGCTGTGGCCACATGAATATTAAATTCCATGTAAGCCTTTGGTTTAATTTGGCACTGACTGTTATTCAAACAAAGCAGTGTTGTGAGTGGCTGAGGGAGCAGAGCAAAGATCAACACTTTCTTGGAAATAAAATGTGGCTTTTCCTTAAGCTATTTTGTTTTTGATTCAGCCACAGACATATTTCTTTGCTCTGGGGCTCACAACCAAAATCCCTTCCAGGCCACAGTATAAACCTAATATTCAGAGGAAACTTCCATTTAAGATAACAGGCAGAAAGAACTCCATAACTTAGAGCTCCCTATAACATCATTTCCGGTCACTAGGGTGTAAGTGGCACTTTAAAAGTTGGTCTCCCTGCTTATATTTCCCAAACTTGCCTCCATGTTTATAAATGTACGGATGTATCATTTAGCCATTCTCCTTGTGTATTTATGCATTGGTTTTTTTTCTAAATTTAGAATAAATTTTTAGTTATAAAGCCTTGTAGTGCAATACTTTTTCCTATCCTTATTCCCTTTGACCTCATATGCATGGCATGATGCTACAGCAGATGTCCCTAGGTCAATATTGAAAGCACAGGGAAGTTCTGTGTGACTCAGTCAAATGGAATGTTTTGGCTTTCTGTCTCTGTAACCATTTAATTGCAAGGTTTCAAGTGAAAAAGTTTGGGTATTCACCTCTCCATTAACACAGGGCATTTTGCAAGAGCAGTGCAATGAATGACCATTTGTAATATAATGCCTGTGTGGATGGTGAGGTAGTGGGCTGGATAAGAATCCGATGCTATTTTCTAATCCCCCAAGACAGTAGCACACACTGAACACCTCCCTCTCTCATAGAGATACCGACATGCCTGACTTAATAGGGAAAAAAAATTGGGGTGAAAACAATTTTGTGGAGGGAGCAAGAACACCCAAACTGAAAACTGGACCTTGACACCTAATAGTGATTTTTCTTTTCTCCTTGGTTATATCTCTGCTGCATTTCTAGACGAGTAAAAAAGGAGACCAAGTTGCTTAGATCACTTGATTAATTCATTTGTACTTAATTCATTTTATAAATGTGTCTTGAACCTGATTAGATGAAAAAGACAACCCTATTCCGAGGTTCTATGAGAAGTAAATGATCTATTTAAATTGAGAACAATTTGAATGACTCATTTGGTCTCCCCTGAAGCCTAAACGGTACCCGAAAGCAGAAAACAGTGGATACCTATGCCTAAGCACATTTTCCTTCTTTTAACGGGAGGTTTTGGATTAAGCTGCTGTAGCTCAAATGTATGCACTTACCCTGCTTGCCAAGCAAAAACACACATAGCATCTGTTTTGAAAGAGACATCTCCATTTTACAGATGCCTCAAAGAACTTTAAATACCTTGTAAGAAGGCCCTGCTGATTTGCATGATCAAAGTTTCAAAAACAGGCTCAGCTTTTATCACCGGTGTTTAGGCTCTGTAGTGAGTGTGTGTTTTTTTCAAGTTACACTTTGTCATCCTTAAGGTTGGCTCCAGGGTGCCTCTGACTCAGGGGCGCCTCCTGAGTACCCATCGCCCACAGTCTAGTCATTCTTATGTCCCTTCCCTACCGCATAAAACAATGTTGGAAAACTGACAAGCACAAAACAAATGGGGAGAAATTCATCCCAATTCCACCACTCAGGTTAATTTCATTTTTCCTTCGTTTTTTGTTAAACAAACAAAAAAAGTGACTGTAAGTATCCCTTGCAATTCTTGTTTCTCTTTGGACTGTATTTCTTGCAGATAATTTGCCATGTAATCAACCCTTCCTTAGGTCACTTTTAATCTCTTCTCATTCCTTCTCTCCCCTCTAGGGTACCAGGGGCCGGCGAGACCGAAGCTCCCAGCGCGGCTGGCGCTGCTGGTGATAGACTATGTAGAGATTATATTTAGGGCGGGGAAGGGGTGGGGGGGTGGGAAAGATCCTTTCAGACAAAAACGAAGAAAGCTCCATTGAAGATCTAAGAAATTTCCGACACTAGAACCTTTGTATATAGTTTTCGGTAACCTTCGGCAGAGGGCGCTCGGAAGTTGTCGTCACTTTCCGGACAGCCTCCCGGACTTTACCCTCTAGAAATTTGTGCAGTGTTTCCGGCTCTTCTCAGTTGCAGACGCTCGTAAGTTTTCGGCGGTTTCCGGGGAGACTCGGGGACTCCCCGTCTCGCTCGCTCTGTTCCGATCGCCTGGTGCGGCGGGGCAGGGTCTGGGGCTAGTCATGGCGTCCCCCTCGCGAAGGCTGCAGACGAAGCCCGTCATTACTTGTTTCAAGAGCGTCCTCTTGATCTACACGTTCATCTTCTGGGTGAGCGACTGAGCACCTGGGGACTGGCAGGGGTCCCGGGCAGGATTGGGGTGTGCCCTGAGCGCGGGGGCCAGGCGCGCGCGGGGTTGGGCGGCGTAGCTGTTGGGACCCCGGCGCCGGCCACGCGTTGTGGGGACCCGAGCGGGGGCTTCATGCCCGCGCCGGGGTCGGGGTGCGCGACCACCGCCGCCGATCGGCTGAGCCGGGACCCGGACGATCCTGGGGTTTGGGTTCGATGCGGGGACGGGGAGCGAGGAAGGGAGTGTTTGACCCTCCTGCCCGCCGCGCGGAGCACGCAGAGGGGTGTCCCCTGACCGTTGGAGAGGCCTGGCTTGCCCGACCCTCTGAGGGCTCACTTGCATAATAGTCTCTTTCTTTCCACTGCTTCATAAGAGGGGAGTAATTCGCAGGTAAGTATGGTAATGGCTCCTCTCCCGCCAATCTGGGGCTGGCTTTTGTTTACCACCCCTTTGTATCCTGGGTTCAGCTCTGAATTTGGGGGGGGGGGAGAAGGGAGGTGGGGAAGGGGAGTTCCTGGAATTCAGGAACTTTTGTTTTCCTTCCTGGAAGGGTGTTTTTTTTTTTTTTTTTTTTTTTTTAAACCTAAGGCAGGAGTAAGACAATTAAGGAAGTTTTGATTGTTAGGACAAGTAAGCCGTGGGCTTGTGTTTGCACAAAAAGATGAAATTTAGGATTGTGTTCAGCTGTCTTGTCCCATGCCCCCAACTTAGCAGTGCCCTGGCTACCCTGGCTGCCCAGCGATCTAGCTGTGGGTGTAGCAAGGCCTGCCCTTGCGTGCACAGTCCCCCTCTTCCCTCCTCCATTGTCCCCCCTTGTCTGCCATATTCCAGCCTCAGCTCTGTGGCCAGATTGCTAAATCAATTCTCACACCTATTCTTTCTTAACTACCTAGTGGCTTGTGGTTTGAAGATGCTGCTGTACACATAATTTAACTGTCTCTGTTCTCTGATTTCTCACGTAGATCACTGGTGTTATCCTCCTTGTTGTTGGCATTTGGGGGAAGGTGAGCCTGGAGAATTATTTCTCCCTTTTAAATGAGAAGGCCACCAATGTCCCCTTTGTGCTCATTGGCACTGGCACTGTCATCATTCTTTTGGGCACATTTGGCTGTTTTGCTACCTGCCGAGCTTCTGCATGGATGCTAAAACTGGTGAGTCCTTGTTTTCTTTACAGTTGATTCTTGCTAGTAGAAGTCTTCTACACTGTACATTTTGTTTCTTGGAACTGGCAATGGCCCTTTATGATTTTTCCTGTTCCTTCTGAAAACTTTCCAAGTAACAGTTCAGCTGCCAATTCCCACTTTTGTTGTGTTTTCCCCACCCCTCTCCATAAAAACAAGCTGAACGGATGGAGCAGACCACTGCCCCACCCCCTTAGTCTCCCTTTGTGGCTGTAATGTGTCTTATTCATGCTGACTTGGGCTTTCTTTTTATCCCACAGTATGCAATGTTTCTGACTCTCGTTTTCTTGGTGGAACTGGTCGCTGCCATTGTAGGGTTTGTGTTCAGACATGAGGTAACTTTGAATTTGGAAACCTTAATATGTGAAAAATGTCCACTAAGATAAATGGATGAGTGGAGTTGAAGACATCTTTTAATAGTGTACAAATCAGTTACAGATGTGTTTAAAGCTTACCTTTTCAACCTGTTGATGAAGAGTTCATTGTAAAATATTTAGCCTACTTTAACATAAGAGCTATTTTAGAAAATTGTAAAGACTGATAATCACCAGAGGATGAAAGGTACCCATAACTATATGTGTTTCCAGTAATTTGTCTGTGTGTAAAGTACCTATGGAAAGTGGAGCCAATACAACGTGACTGATAGGAACATATTGATTAAATATTTCATGCTCTTGAATAAAATACTGCTCCCATAGCAGTTGGACTTTGTAGTAGTTAACTTTTTTTATTATATGTCGTGTTTAGTTTTCTAGTTGAACTATGTTTCTTAAAGAGTAGGATTGGACCTTATAATTACCATGCATGTTGCCACTGCAAATATAAGACTGAAAGAACTTTCTAGAATGTTTCTTTCCTTACATTGTGTTTCATTGCTATAGATTAAGAACAGCTTCAAGAGTAATTATGAAAATGCTTTAAAATACTATAATGCTACAGGAGATTATAGAAGTGATGCAGTAGACAAGATCCAAAGTACGGTAAGTGCACCTAGGCAGTGGCTCCCCAAGAAGGGATGTTGTCCCCTTGTTTTATATTTTCATTATCTCAGATTAGGGGGAAATGGAAATATGTCCTTGGAAAGAAATGTGACATGATACCAAGTGACATCTCTCCATTTTTCTCCATATCATTCTACTCAAAGTTACACCTCTTTAAAGTGTAAATTTGGTGTTGAGAAACAAATGCTAAATCATTTGAATTATAATGCCAATTGAGGACAGAGTAAAACATCTGGCTAGAGAACACTGAGTATAATAAATGTTTTAAGGGCAGATTGTACTCTAAGATGATAAGTTAAGTGTTTGACTGAAAAAGTTTGTTGGTTTTTTTCAGTTACATTGTTGTGGTGTCACCAACTTTAATGACTGGAAGGTTACTGGCTATTACTCAGAAAAAGGATTTCCTAAAAGCTGCTGTAAACTTGAAGATTGTTCTCCACAGAAAGATGAAGATAAAGTAAACAGTGAAGTAAGAAGGTTTTACCATTTTTTTATTTGAAAATATTAACTGAACATAGAGTTGACTCAGTTTTTATTTTTTACTCACAGTACACATACTTTGAAATAGGCGGGGCACGTAGTAGGCCTCCTTGACTAAATGAGGAAACTAGCTCAGAAATTTTGTGAATTGAGTTCATAAAATTAGCACATAACTTTTTTAAAGATTTATTTATTTATTCATATGGAACTGGTGTACAGGCCAGAGATGTGAAGGGTGAGAGGTTTCACCAGAGACAGAGTGGGGAGCAGAACAGGCAGATCGACGAAGTACACTGCTGAGGGGAGCAGTGGGCGGGTCAGGAGAGGTCTGCCACGCCATGTGGTCACCTCCCGGGCAGGTGGGAATCGAACTCATGCGGAAGTGGCTTTAGCTTCTCAGTGCAGTGCTTTAACCCGCTGTGCCACCAGGGAGGGCCCGAGCACGTAACTTTTAAATGCATAATCCAAAAGCTGGAACTTGTGTTCCCCAAATTTCTGTTGAGAGCTTTGCACTTGAAATAAAAGGATTTTTTTCTTTCTATGAGAGCAAATTTTAATAAAATCACCAAGACTGAGGTGGCCGATCTTCATCTTTTGGAGATGTAGCACAGATTTTCTGACTGTAATGTACTTATGGTTTTTTTTTTCTCTCTCTCTAGGGTTGTTTTATAAAGGTGATGACCATTATAGAGTCAGAAATGGGAGTTGTTGCAGGAATTTCTTTTGGAGTTGCTTGCTTCCAGGTAAGTCTTTGTAGCTAGGAGAGCTTTCATCATTCTTGTAGGTTTAAACTAGAAACCTTCCACTTTGAAGGCTTCAGGTTTTTGTTTTTGGGACCTTGGTATCCACTGACATTTTCACAAAACTCTCAGGTTCTCATCATGGTCTAGAAAGACGTTTATGTCAGTCAATCCGTTGTAATTACATCTTTATATAATTAGCTTTGTTTTAGTTAGGAAGGGGTGGTGTGCTGTTTCCATTCTAGTTTTTGATGTTCTGGAATTTCTGTTTCCCGCAGGACTTTCCTTTTTTACCATGACCAGTCATGTCTTGAAACTGCAAAAGGCAAGACTTAGAGTCCACTTCAGGCAGTACTTATCTTTTTAAAGCAGTTAGCTGTGGAAAGACCTGGTGCCCTCTTCGTCACAGCAGCCTTCCGGCATGCAGTCGTTAAACAAAACCCAAGCTAGATGGGAACTTGGTTTTGCTCTGCACTCACTTGGGATACTAAAACGTTATCAGGATCTTTCTTCCCTGGGCTGCACTGCCTGATGAGCTGCATCTAAGTTCCAATCTGTTAAAATTTAGCTCATACAAGGTTGAGTTATATTTCCTGAGTTGTGCTTAAGGAATTGGAACTTAAGCTTCAGGCAGCATTTAGTGATTCAGAAGTGGAAGGAGAATGTGACTATGTCTTGAGGTCTTTAAGGCTGTGTATGTTTAATTTTGCCTGTATTTTATCCACAGCTGATTGGAATCTTTCTCGCCTACTGCCTCTCGCGCGCCATAACGAATAACCAGTATGAAATAGTATGACCAGCATAGCACAGACTTACTCCTCTCCAACTTTAAGGTACGTTCAATTTGGTGCTCAGTGCTGTCAGTGTTCGTGTTTACCACTCTTGGCCAGAATACACGTCTTGCCCCCACCCCATAGTGTGTTCAGATCTTGTTGGTGCAGAGATCAGGTCTTCAAACAGGCCAGAAGGGCCTCTCTGAGTTTACCTGCATGTGTCAGCCTAGTGCCCTTTCTAACAAACGTGTACCTAGAGTCAAAGAAATGAAGAATCCTGAAAGTTCCCAGGCAACAACCACACTCTGCCCCTCACCAGATTCCCTAGTCTTTTTCCTAGTTATCATTCACCCCATCTGGCCTAACCAGGAACCAGATTTGGGAGGGGAGTGTGTTTGAATAAGGTGGATATTTGGAGAGTGAAGTAATCCCTGGGGCACCCTTCACATTGTATTTGAGCCACTGACTAGAAACAGCTGAAGGCCTTCACTAGCCGACTAGGTTAGAAGGTGTGCAAGCAACTAGAGAATGACATTTGGGTTGCAAGTACATTAACTTTTCTTCTTTACTTGTAGGACATTTACATCCTCCCCCTCCCCCTGTGAACTGCAATACTGCCTGGATGGAAGACTGACTAACTCCTTACCAATAGGCTGAAAAATTACGATAGTCTGATTCAATCAAGACATTTATTCAGTGTTATAAGTCCACGTTTTGTCCCATTCATCTTAGATCATGGAAACACCCCATATCACTCTGAAACACTGGAAGAGCTAGTAAATTGTAAATGAAGCAATACGGTGTTCCTCTTGACTTGTTTTTCTCAATGTGGGGTGTTTGAAAGACCCTGTGAGTTTGTTATTTTGATGTAGTATATAAGATAGAAGATCGACCCCTTTGAATTTACTGTTGATGTAGTGTCATAGGACATGGACCGCTCTGAACTGCCCCCTTCTCAGCCAAGGTTATCTGATTTGATTGTGTAATTTGCATCAAGAAGTTAAAAAGGTTTTATTAGTCTCTGTTCTGTTGATAGGTAGAGTCACATTATGTGATGTTAATCCAGCCTAGCTGGGTGACCCATCAGCATTGCCAACATGGTGGTAAGGGTCTCTGACCTAAAGCCCCCAGGCTTAAACTGGCATCCCAGTGTTCTGTGACATCAGGTTGCAGAACACTCAACTGCATTTCTTTGCTTCCAAATTGAGGTGTTCGATCTATTTATATTGCCCCTGTTTGAAAGGTTCTAATTATTATTTTAATGGTGTCGGAATTACTGTTATTTTCCTTCGGGATTTAAAGCATCTCATATTCTTTAGTTTTACCTAGTATTTCCTTACCAGGTTGATATGACCTTATTGTCAATATTATGGTCAACTTTAATAGTCTTAGTTTTGGTGTGTGCCTTTGATTAAACAATAAATACTGTTTTCTTCTAAGGTCGTGTTTGTATTAACTTTGAAAATCTGCTGGGATGGTTGTTCACCACTGGGAAAGTAAAGCCCCGTATTTTGAATTGGAGTACAATTTGGGATATGAAGTGTAAAACTGGAGTCTTGATTCCATGTCATTAAGAGATATTAACATCCCTGTTTACAGAAACTATTCCCTGTGAAAGGATTACTTGTACTTAAATAGCCTATGCTTAGCATTGTAGAGATCAGATATTAAGGAGTTGGGTGGGAATAGTTGAAACCTGCACCTTTGGAGTACTAAGGAAATTAATAAACTTTGAGTTGTAATGGGGGGAGTCTTTTGTTTGAGGTAGACAGACCCTAGCTTGTTTTTATTGCCATGCCTTCACATGGTCATTGAATTTCATAAGGGAGAGTCAATCAAGATTTTAAGTGCACAAAAACTAGCACCTACTACTGCCTTAGGATTAATGACAACTGCAAGGTACATGTTTTAAAATGCTTGCAAAAAAAAAAATATTCTCCATGAAGATATTGTGACCTGACATTAGGTAGAACAACACAACTGTAAAAACAGTTGCTCTCTAAATGCAATTGACTAAGGGAATTTGAAAAGCCAAGGAAATGAATGTTTAAAGGATAATCAGTAATTTTCAAGTGAGCATTTTTCACTAGGGTGGGTTTTCACAGTTAGGGATTTCTCTCTGTGTGTATGAAAAGCTTTTCCTCAGTAGTTTAAAAAAAAAAAGCAGAAAGGAAAAACACCCCTAGTGTGTGTATGTGTGTGTATGTAAAGCTTTCCCTCAATAGTAAAAAAATGGAGAGCAGAAAGGGAAAAACACTCCTAGCCAGTCATGAAAGTCCCTCAGAGCTAATGTGTGCATGTGCACACCAGATTGTAAAATTCACCTCCACCTTCCGTGTGCCAGAGGTATCCTGTGGGTTGTCTCACTTCCAGGCACCAGGTTGTTTAACTGCCAGGCAACTGTGAACTCCCTTTGAGAAGCAGAGCTCCGTGGGTATATTTTCTGGAAGTGTGGAAAGCTTGGCAGTTTTGGCCTTTTCCTGTGGAGGATTGGGTTTATGTTGTAGGCATCAAACTTTTGTGGAAATAAATGCCTAGTACAAGGTATAAATGCCATTTCTGTTTTTACTCAGAGCTCACACAGGATTCTTTGTGACTTGATGTTTTTGCCTCCTGTCAGAATCCAAATTGGTATTTTGCCAGTGAGGTGGCTAACCAAACTGATTAAATAATGAGATGGAAAGTAATGTATACCTTTTTGTGTGAAACTGAGGAAACTAGTTCCTTTAGACTACTTCCATGTGGGCATTTATGTTTGTTGAAGAAAATCTAACACGAGGTATAAATACCACTTCTGCTTTTCCTCACAGCATACATAGGATATGCTGGGATTTAGTATTTTTTAAACTTTACTGCCCTTCTAAGTTGACACCTGGATTGTGATGTGGCAAACTAAACATTTTTTTAATTCAAAAAAAGAAACAAAACGTTGCTATATCAGGAAAGAATATATAAATCAAAATCATTGTAAGCAGGGAAATGAGACTTGCATTTTTGTTTGTAATGTTTAAGTTCTAGGAGTAATTGTAATGGCTATATTTGCTCATGATTCATAGAGAACAAACATGGTATAAAAGTTTCTACTCAAAATTAGAATTTCTAAAAGTCATACCAAGGAAAACATAACTTTCTTATTTCTGTACTTGATCTTAGCCAAAATGCCAAGAAGTGATAACTTCCTTATTTTTAAACATGGTTGATGTAGAGAAAGGCTGAACTCTCCTCACCTGGGAAATAGTAGTAATGACTAAATTTATTGAGCGCTTAACTCTAGGCAGTGGGGTAAGCATTTCCATCTCTCTTCTCTCCACAACCACTAAATGGTGCTGGTACTATCATCTCATTTTATCAATGGGGAATTTGAGGCACAGAGAGGTTAAGTAATTTTCCACAGTTCCTTTCCTGGAAAATTTGGCAGAAAGTTAGGTTCTGAGCCCAAAAGGTTTAACAGCAGATTCTATCCAGAATCATACACAAATTCAGGATATTATGGATTTTACAGCAATTCTTTGCAGCTTCATTAAAACATGATTATTGGAGGTTTTCTCTAATTTTTTTGTTCATTAAAAAATGAGTGTATACATATATAGTAATAATTTCCTAATTTAACATCCATTCAAGTTGTTCTTTAGCTCAGTACTTCTCGAATTTTAATGTTCCTAAAACCACCTGGAGGTCCTGTTAGCAGCAGATTCTGATTCAGGAGGTGTCCGGTGGGACTGACAAGCTGCTGGAATGAGGATCACAATCACAGTGCAAAAAGGAAAAAGAATTAGGTGACAATTTACATAGTGCTGGACTACCATGCTCTGGAGTCAGCATCTGCTGGCTTGTGAGAACCAATTGTTGCTTTTCAGGAGTATTGAGGGTTGGTTATTAAACATAAGACTTCGATATTTCATGCATCAGTCTACCACCACCCAGATACCTTGTGAGAGGGAAGTCACAGTTTAATTAAGGTTTTTTATTAGGTACCCCCTACCCCATGGAGCTTAGTTGAGTTAGGCACTTGCAAGAGCACAGCACATGCTAATGAAACAAATGAATTAGTGAATCTAATTGTAATTGCTCTTTAATGTTCTAAGTGAGATAAGTTGTTGATTGAAATATCTCATTTCAATATAAGACACTGTCTATATAATGGAAACCACCTGCTCATTCAGAAACCACTTAACCTCAGACACTACCACTAACTTCCTCCTGGGCAAATTGCTTTTGCTACTTCTCTTTTTCTGATCTTGCTGCATTTGATGTCACCAAGTGTTCTTGGTTTTTGCTTTCACCTTGCAATATCCTGATTTTCTTCCCGATTATTGCTTTTTCTAGCTTATTCTGCTGTTTTAATTTCCTCCTACTTTCCAAGTGTGGCTGCCCCCAAAGGCTTGTATTTGGCTCTCTGCTCTTAGATTATGCTGAATTTAGAGGAATTAAATGTAGATGATCATCAGGCCTAACCCTCTGCTCTCTGTGTTGGTCTGTTTTTGTTTGTTTCACCCTTTCCTGTCTAACACCTCAAAGCTTAGCATTCTGAACACATAAAAATATTTCCTCTATAGCCTCTGGTCCATGCATGGTAGTCATTCATTTGATGTTGACTGAACTGCCTTCCTCACTCGAAAACAGTTTATGGAAATTGGAGATGGACCAGTTACTCTGAGAGTTCATTATCATTTGGTCTGTCATGTGCCTTTATTGGGTGAATATAAGTTCTTTGGGCAAGATTGTATCCTAAAAAAAAAAAAAAAAAAAGTTTGTAAAGACTTCCTTCTCCTGACAAAAGTTTCTCACCATCTTTTCAGGGAAAAAATTATCCTAGTAGAATATCCTTAAAGCAAATGAAACTGGCAGGGAACTTGCCTTGATGAGACAATCAATTCACAAGTGGGTATATACAGCTTCTAAGTAAGTGGTGCATATCTGGAAAGCCACACTCACTATATTATGTACCCAGTTAGGGAAATATTCCTGGAGTACAGTAGAAGAGATTTTGAGAAGTGAAGGAGGTCAACTGCATCCTGTCCAGAACGGCCATGCACTTACTTAGTAAGAAAATGACAAATAAGAGAATGTTGGCTCTTTGCACCATGTTTCTTCTGCTCTAGAGGGGAGGTAGGAGAATATTGTTTATTGAAAGCTCACTAATGGCCAGACATTGCTTCAATCCCCTGCTAGACCCATTTCAGACAACTAGTGAAAACGCTGAAAAATAGGTTAATAACTTGCCCAAGGTCACATAACTAGTATATGGCAGATCTGGTATTAGGACTGAAGTCAGAGTCTGAAGTCGATGTGTAGTGCCAGCAAGGCAGGGAGCAGGTTTTCTAGGATCCAGGCAGACAGGGGTGTCCTGGAGACGTCGGTGGTTTTTTCGGACTTTGATGTTCTTTCTACCCCATGTGTAGTGAGGCAACAGGGAGGCCTGAAGGCCAGGAGGCTGACAAGCCTCCTAGCCCCTGGCGAATCTCCACTCTTTCTGGGGCTCTCTGGCCTTCTCTGGTGGTTTCTTCGCTGGTCTCACTGCTCTCTGCTATGTGGGCCTCTGCTTTCCTTCTAGGTTTGGCCCCTCCACCCAGGGGCATCCACTTACGAACGCCTACACCGAATCCCTGGTGTCTGCCAAGAGGCATGCGTGTAAGACCACAGGGATCCATGGTAGGTACTAATGGCGAGAGGGCAGGAAAAACCTGATCATTCCCATTTGCCTTCATGGATTGGATTTTTTTTTAAATCCAGTAGCAAAAGGCTCTGGGGATTATCTGAGACTAGTCCATTGGATTTTTTTTTAAATCCAGTAGCAAAAGGCTCTGGGGATTATCTGAGACTAGTCCATGGCTAGAGGACAGAAGAAAGAAAATATATTTTAATCAGTCTTTACTGACTATGAAATCTTCAGAATGGAAAACTGCATCCTATTTTCTCACAGTATACTCTTGTAGGGTATTAACATAAAAAATAAAAACAAACAAAACCTGTTGTTACTCCTTGGCCCCACAAGAGTCTTTGAACCAAAGACATGATTGCAAAGAGTTAATCACAATCTTTTAAGCATCTGGTTACACAGACTTGTGCCTCTTATAAGTTAATATTTCCTACATTAAAAAGCTGTAGCACAACACTTAGCTACTTTCAAATGTATTCCTTTGTGAATGTCTTTAAATATTACTTGGAAAAAACACCCCCTTCCCCCCTTAAACAAACCTGTGCAGCACAACAGACACATGCTGGAGGCAGAATTACAGCCTGCAGGCACAGGTACAAAGGTGCTTGCGTTAATTTTTTTTTTTTCACATGGGCATGCTTGCAGATAATCCTTCTCGCTACAGGAGAGCAGCAGTTTCTGAGACAGCAAGCCCCCAGGTGCAACCCAGGGACCTAGGGAGTTAATTCAGAGCTTACACTATGGCTCAGTGCAGCCTTGAACCCCTCTAGTCCA